CAAATGTCCTGTTGAGTGGCATTTTGGTAGTTGTTTCTCTAAATGACTTAGCTGTGTCTTAGGGAAGGGTCTTCTAAAAAGGAGACCATTTCTTGACATTGTGTTTTCTGTAACTGCTACTGAGGAGAGGTAAAGCCAAGCCAGGCTCTTAGTGAACACTTTCAACACAAGACAAGCAGTTCTGTGTTTCTGTCACAGTTTTACAGTAAGGCCATTCAGTACTCAGAACCAAGAAGATAGCATGTGTGCCTATTTAATAGTCTTCTTTTTGCTCTTGTATTTTGTTCTGTCTTAAATGGTGTTAGAATTGAGAATTCGGACTCTTTTTCTGTGCCAAAAGAAAACACAAGTGGCTTGTTGAACGCAAGATTTAGTCTCATGGATACTTCCAAAGCAGTTAAAATTCTGGCCATACAGCCACAGGAAGGAGTTGGTGGCATATGCCCCAGTCTCCTCTCCTGAATGCAGGCTCCATGCCCAGAAAGACATCATAAATCATTTAAAATTTATGATGAGCCCTGTCGTGTGCTTCACCCTGCTAGTTGGCTGGTGTCTGTCCTCTACACACTATGACCTCCCTTCTTCAGAGCATACAGAGACTTTTTCAAATGAGCCTTAGGACAGAGAGCTGAGGATTTTCCCTTTGGCTGGTGCAGCCAAGCAGCGGAGCCCGGGGAGATGACAGAGGACTCTTGTTCTTAGAGTTTTGCCACAAGCCTCATTTGCTCTGAGATTGGCAGTGGGGAAGGGGCAGAAAATAAAACCATTGTCATTATTAGCCTGTTTTCTTTTATTCACTTATTCAACAAATACACATTTTCTAAGTGCCAACAACCTGGAAGGCACTGTTAGGGACACAGCAGTTGGTTCTCATGAAGACTACACTTCCGTGAAGCGGTAGGTCCCATGTGAGGAGGGGATGGCATATTTTGCAGGGTAAGAAGGAGGATAAAGACAGGAAGGAGAACAAGCTGCTCTGCATTGGGTATGCAAGACAGGGATTTCTAGTCAGCTGATCGTTGAGCAAAGACTTGAAGGAGGTGATGGAATGAGCCCAGCACAGATGTCTGGGGAATTGCATCCCGGGAAGGACAGAGGCCACTGTGTGGGGCCCCACAGAAGAGAAGAGAGAAGAGAGAGCTAGGAAAGAGTGGTTAGGAGCGGATCCAATGCGGGGAGGGCCATCCTCCCAGGGCACTGTAAAGACCATGCCCAGGAGCTGAGATGTCAAGTGGGATGGACAACCATTGGGAAGTTTTTGGAAAGTAGGTCCTTTTCAAACACCTGAAAAACCCTAGTGTAAGCATGAAGTCAGAAAGACGTGGCAAAATGCTTCTTTAACCTCTTAGAAGAAGAATATTGTAATCAGGATCAAACTGTCAGAACTTTAACTGACTCTATGCAGGGAGTGAAACAAATCACAGCTTTGCTTGATCTTGATGAAAAAAACAAGCATCTTCTCAATTGGGATAAAAGTGAGTAACCATGAGCCGCCCACTCAGCTGGTGACAGTGCTTTCCATGGAGAGACCTAGCTGTGACATCTGGTGACCTGTGCCCTGTCAAGTGTCTTTCCTGCCATGTTTCCGTTGTGTCACAGCCATAGGCCCCCAGCGTTACTGCTGCAGTTGCAGATTCGAGTGAGCCTCAGAGTCAAAGAGTGGCTGGTGGGATACTTGGTTTCAGGTTCTCGGAGGCTTCAATAACTTGCTTTGCTCTCTGTGAACAGAGTGAACTCAGGCTGCTTTCCACTCACAGGTGGCTTTAGTTCAGAGCTACGGGGAGCATGAGTTTGATTAATGTGCGGAAGTTACAGGAAATGTAATTTTGACTCCTCGTGAGGAATACCTTCCTAAATGAGGGTAACTGGAGTGGACTGTGCTTTAGAGGGGCCATCCTGGGTTGGAATGTTTTCAAGCAGGTGAGCACATCTCAGGAATGTTCCTGAAGACTGCTCTGTGCAGCATGTTAGACTAAGATGACCTCTTAGATTCATTCCAGGGCAAAGCACTTCTGAGCCTATGAAAAAGTGTCCAGTGAATGTGCTCTGCAAACATACAGACACTATGTAAACATATTTTAAAAGGTTAAGAGTGAGATACTTGTTCTTCTGGGAGAACAGTGGGTGGAACTTTGTGCCCTGGCACATACCTTCCATGCAATCAATCGCCTGCAGTTTGTTCTCATTGGTCCTGTACATAGCTGTCTGCACTGTGTGTTAAAAATGCACTCAGCCGAAGACCAAACAAATAGCCGGAGGCATTTTCCTATCAGGGCCCGTTTATAGGAGGTGGAGCAAGATAACAAAGCTGTCAGTTTTGATTCTTGGCAGGAAGCCACAAAGCTCCAAAATTTACAAGGAAAAAGAGAGGAGAGATTTTCAGCTGATGTTAAGTTAGAATTAAAGCAACAAGAAACTTGAGCTAAAGCATCCTCTGGGATCCATGAGGGAAAGGCAGAAACAAAAAAGGGGTCTGTCCCAAGCTCTCAGATGATTTTTTAGTGCAAAAATGAAACCTTTTAAAGGTGCCCAAAGCAGAGATTACAGGATGGCCTTGATTAATGATACGGATTCACACAGCATTTGAGCTGGACGAGGTGTCCTCTGTGATCATTGAATCTCATCCCTCAATTTACAGTTGACAGATCAGAAGCCCTGGGACTTAGAGAGACTGCCCAATGTCACAACACTAGTTGTGGAAGTTCTGGGACTAGAATCCAGGACTCCCGACCGTCATTTTGTGTTCAGGCCACTTTATAGAAGCAGCAAACAATTATATGCTTTGCTTCCAAAGGGCAAAGGTCAGACTACTGCAGCGACAGTTCTGACTCGGCCGTGCATTTGGTTTCCCAGAATGTGTGGCCTGATGCCCGGGCCCCATGGCACTTGCTCTTGAGGTTGCCACCTGCAAACTTAAGCTTAGTGCCACCCAGTCTGGCATTTCGGAGCCCACCCCAGGAGTGGGGCCAAATGCCCTCAGAGCCAGACCAGCGTGAATGGCTTTGCACAATACCTGGGAGACTTCAGTGGCCAGGGGCCCTTCCGAACCACCTGTACTATCTCAGTGATGTCCACAGCATCATTGTGGGTGGCGTTTGGCCTCCCAGGCTGGTGGCTTCTCTCCTCTTTAACAGAAGCTTGGGCAGATTGAAGCTGTGTTTCAAGCACGGCACTCTTTTTTCCTGAGAGACCTCATGTGAGAGCACAGTTCCGGCTGGGCCCCCACACCCAGTTAACTTTGTCCGTGGAAATCACCAATGTTTAAGTGAGCTGTTGTGAATTACTTCTAGGAGGGAGGATGGCAAGCAGATGGGTGGATGATCTAAAAGAAGATGGGAGGGTTCTGTGTGTGTCTTCATTTAAACCAGTAAGATGTTAATTATCTTGCTTTTGACCATTCATTCATTTCCTCTTTCATTCATTCATGGTCTTATTTGTTTACATTCTGATTCTGTGCCCCCCAAAAAGGCTTGATGAAACTTGAACAAAGAGCACATATGCTATAAATAAAATATAAATGAAGTCAGGACACTGAGAAGGTAGAAACAGATTTCATCCATGAATTGTCATATGATATCTGCGTTATGTATCAAGTTTCACTCTGACATTTCTGGCCACCAGAATTAAAAGCAAATGCATAATTCCTAGTTATCAGACAGGAAAAAAAACATTTTCTTCAAGAGAGAAAAAGTATTGCTATTCTGGGGCTCATAACCACTACTAAACACTTATTGAGGCCTTTCAGTTACTTAATACAAATCTCCTGGTCCAAAGCACGCCCCTCTCCCCTCTCTCTGTTCAAAGTGTCCTTGCTGCAGCCCGTCTGAAGCACCCCAAAAAATTCCTGCATTCTTAATGTTATGAGCTCTGTTGGTATGTATCAGGGGACAGATTGGGGTATTTGGGTTTAGTGTGGTTCTTGAAATGATGTTGTCTAAGGTGACTCCAGTATTTGCAGATTATGAGGCCAGGAGGAGGAATTTGGGAGGGTCAGAATCAAATCCTCCTGTGGCCACCAGGTCTCCACCAAGGTACCTTTCCTTCTCCCCAAAGAGTGATAGCCCCCTTCTGTGTCGCTTTTCAGCTCTGTCAAGGTATTTTTTTGAACAGGGAATCCAGAGGGAAGAGAGTTCTGCAAAACACAACTTTGGGGGATGTTGGATCAAAGGATTTGTAGATAACATGACTGTACTAATTTGACCCACTTTTTTGGCCCTGAAAGTGGAAAATGCAGTTAGCAGTTGCATAGACATATAGGCTTCAGGAACTAATATTATACACATACAAGGTGAATACTATTAAAGTCCCACCCTGAGCAACTAAGTTCCAGTCTGAAATTGTAGTAGGAATTTAGATTCTTCCAGAAGGAAAAAGCAGTATTGAGATTCCCATCCTTTTACTGTGAAAGCATGGCTTTATTCCATCTTCCTAAGACTTGGAATTTATTAGGGGATATACCAGAATAGAAGTTTTGAGTGTGGCAGGAAAAAGAGTACAGAAATCTGATATGTTGGGCTTTGTAATTGTGGCTATGAGAGAGAAAACATTGGAAAAGTAACCCCTTCTCTAGCATCCAGATGAGTTACCTGAAATACTGAATATTTAATAAAAGTATGTTTTCAATGTAAGCATATATAACATTTACATGCACTGCATTTTCACAGAAGCCTATACTTTAGAATGCATTACTAAATAAAGGAATATTTCAAAGTGTGAAGTAACCTTTGTGCTCTAGTTGATATGAAGTACTGGGTCTGGGTTCTTGACCAAATACCATCATTTGAAAGATGAGGTGGTGGGGTTTTAGGTCATGGGCTGGAGTCATCTGCCCTTGTCCTCATTATGTTGACTTCAATCACATGTTTTGCTAGGCAACTAGAAAAACTGGTGTTTGAGCCCTCCAGTGAAGAGAATGAATGTGTTCGATTCTACTTGGAATGTTTTTCATAATTATTTTAAGCCATGACTTGATTCTTACTTGTGCTTATTCTTTTTAAAAGTATTAGAAAGGAAGATATCCACAAGACAAAGTAGAGAGGAGCTGATAAGAAGGGGAGTTCTTAAGGAATTGCCTGATCAAGGTGAGGAAATTAATCATACATTTAAAATAATTTGATCCTTCATTCTTTGGTCTTTCTTTCATTTTCTTTCGAAATGTAAGATGATCGTGGTCTTTGGGAGCTAAAGCAGTGAGTACCATGCTCCAAGAAGTCTTGCTTTAATTCTGAATGCCTTTGTTGGCTGCAGAGAAGCTAAGGTATCTAGAAAAGAAAGCCAATGACCTTTCTGGTGAGTCCTTCACCATATGTCATTCTAAACCTAAAGCTCTGCAAAGGTATACCATGGCTGGAGATACAGATAAGATACTATGGCTTACAGGATTTCTCATCTCTGTTCTTGAGCTTCAAACCTTCTCGACAAGTTAACTCAACTGCTTGCATAAATGTGAAGTTTCAGCTTGACTCATGCCTTTTGGTCTCTTAAGTCTACCAGTAAAAGAAACAAGAGAGAAAAGAGATGGTAAATATACCTCTTGTCCTTTATCCTCTATGATACTCTCAAATGACAATCAGTAAGCACGAATGGGCAAATTAAATTAATCTGCTTTATGCATTCTCTCAAGTATTTTCCCCAGGATTGTTCACTTTTCATTTCTTTGAATCTAGTTGTCTCTCACCTTTTCGCTGACAATTATTATTTCCAAGTATTTTTTTTCCTTTCCTTTCCTTTTTTTCTTGATCCTCCCAAGGGGCAGTCTTGCTCAAAAAGACAAGGATTAGAAAGAAACTGGCAAGACCCTCAGAACACCAAAATGGATTATTTCTCCAAATAAATATTATTGAGTAATTTTCATTGTCCCCACTACAATTAAATTTTTTTTGCAATGTTGTTGCTTTACCTCAAGTTTCCCCCCATCCTATCCCCCGAACATTTATTGGGGTGAAGTAGTTATATTGTATTTTCACGGAAACAAATAAAATGCTATTAATTTGGAATTAAAATAATAGTATTTCTCATTTCCTGATATACTTTCCTGGCCAACAACTTAACATCTTTTAGCATTTACTTCATAAATTCAAATGATATGCTTTGTTCAACATCTGACTATCTCCAGAGTGGAGCTGGGAGATGCTTTTAGTATTTTACTCTTGCTTCAAAGAAAGTAGGAGTGAATAAAACCATTTTTGAGTCCTTACAATTTTAGGTATTTTATTTCATCTTCTCGCCTACTGTACTTTTCTCACTCTATTTTATGATTGTACTTTATGTTTTCCCTAATTTTCTGTTACCTTGAAGCTATTTACTTCCTATCTGGGGCTTGTCAAAACAAAAAAATGCACATCCCTAACATTTCTATAACTGGAAGGTGGGCTTACAGTATCAAAATTTGTCTCTCTAATCTCACGGGGGGCAGTAGAACAATTACAAATCCTACTGAAAGCTGAATGCTGAGCCTTCACCTTTACAGGGTCAGCCAACACACTCTGGTTTGGCATCCCTTATTTAGAAATATGTTAAAGAAAGAAAAACTTAGAAAAAATGTGTGATTGAAACCATTAATGAGTGTTAAAGATAGTGATTAAAAGCCTCTTTTTTGTCCAGTTAGAAGTTTTAGCTAGAAAAGAGTTTACTTTTTCTGAAACTAAGTGGCAATGCTCCATTTAAAGAAATGCTTAGTATTGCTTGATTTTTTTATTCTTTCTAATCTGTTAAACTGTTTGCATGATGGATTACACTTTCCTATACTTATTTCCCAGAAATCTGACTCTACTGACCTTTTCATTTAACTTTTGCAGACTGAACATTAAAACTTTTAAAACACAAAAGAACAAAGCAATTTTTAATTTAATGTAACATGTTTAATGTTTGGGAACTCATGAGGTACCTGATTTTCCTTCCTACCTTTTGCATATAGTTCCCTGTATAGAGCTATACAAAAACTACCTAATACTTGGAAGTTCCCATCAATGCCTGTTGTATGTTAGAGTCCTTCCTCTTTTCAGCCAAGGGCTGGAGAAAATATTTTTCCATCATTTTTCCAAAATTATCTTGAGAATTTCTGTCTGTCTTCAGCCCCAGCAAGACTGGAAGCTGCCATGCTTGGTGACAGCCTGCTCTTTGCTGCCAGTGAGGACGCGTTCTGTGCGGTGTTGATCTTGACCTTGTCTCAGCTCTTGACAAGGCTCATCAATCACTCCCTTTATTCAGTGAGCCAGACAGACTTTTTAAATCCCTTTAGGTATCCTGGGTTTGACTTCACCCCATCCCACCCCACACACTCACTCCTGGCTGAGCTATCATTATTATTCCTTTTAGATTATCTTTTTTACACCAAGAACTAACTTCAGTCGAAAACGTTAGTGACTGCTCTTCTCTCCCAAGAAGTCCGTGATAGCTTCAACTTGGCAGCACGTGGATGTGTCTGCCTGCATGCCAGGCCTGTTCTTCGGCTCCCGTGGTGTCCTTGGGAACCTTCTCATGAGTCCCTCACCTTTTGGTCATAAGCAATTTTCTCCTTAGCTCTTCCTCTGTTAGCTGTATCCCAAATATACTTGCTTACCAGGAAGAGGGAAACCCCTCAAATACTCACCTGCTTCTTTAACCGCTTATGTCTGTGTGTGCTTTATCTCTTAGCTTATTAAACCTTATTCTTTTGTGAGTTGTTTGTTCCTTTGCATACAGAAGCCCCCACGAGATTTGATGTGGCCTCTTATTGTATGTCTCCTGCAGGCTGGCTAACCATCTTCTCTGGCTTTTCTTTGCTGGGATGTGTGTATGTATTTTACTTACATACATAAACTATGTCAAAGACTTACTTTAATTCTAAAAACAAGAAAACCTTTTCAATACTCTGACCGATTGATTATTAATACCTTCAGTTCTCCTTTGTTTTATTGAATTCTTTATTTATCACAAATGTCTTCTTTTTCTACAGTTACTTTTATATGCACTAGCTTTATTTCATTTCTCAAAGTAAGTATCTTTCCACATTGTCCACTGTTTCTATCATGTAATAATCTAATTTCCTGTGCCACAGCTGTTTAATTTTCACTTTAGCTTTTTTGGTTCTAAAATTTTAAAGTCTGTTATTTAACCTACTAAATAATTTTAACTTAATAATGGTTAAAATAAAATTAAATTGTCATTAACAGGACTTCAGCATTTTTTGGTAACAAATTAAAGTCAGACAACACAAAGATAAATTGGTATTTGGGTTATCCCAAAATCAAGGGTTTTTATATAAAGAAGTGGTTTTCTATTTTCTGTGGAATTTTCCATTCATACATTAGTTTTTATTTTTTTGAGTCTAATATCTGGACATTATATTGTGTCTCCCCTTCTTTTTTTATAGCAAATTCCTTGGACTCCAATAATAAGAACCAAGAATCCTTTGATTTCTTTTTGGTTAGATCTATACTCTTTGAAAATTATTGACTTAATTTTATTGAAGTAGTAAAGATTTTTTTGCAATGGCATTGCCTTCCATTTTTGTCTATTTTAGCTTTATATAGGACTCCAGTTACAGGTTCTTGGAAGTTATATCGCTAAGCAACAATTGCTTTTTCTTTTGAACTTGACATAATACCATGTTTATTTTACTTACTAAAATGTCATGCCTGTTTTTGTTGAGAAAGTGAATGGCTTTTATTGTAAAGCCAAAGCAGTTCAGTCATATTAAATGAAAATTTGGGAGATGGTCTCTGTTTTATAATGATCAACAAAATAAGATAACTCAAAATTTGTGTAAAGGTAGCTCTAATCATGCATTTCTGTAAGTTTGCTATGTCAAAACTTCAGTTTATTAATTTTTCCTTTACAATGATACAAAGCCTCTTAAAAGTTTCCAGATAAGAACTAGGTGCTAATCTTTTCAAATATTACTACATCAAGAGATTATGAAGAGCCTCTTTCACCTTAGAAACTGCTAGGAATTATGAAAGTTCAGGAGTTAAAACTATTTAAGAGTTAGATAACATATTAAACATTTTATTTTCAGTTGTGATTTTTAAAAAATTCCTCTGTAATCACTTTTTTCCCTACAGGTTCTCCCCCACCCCCCACTAATGTTTTCAAATTACTCTTAGGAAGGCTTAAAGGCTTTTGGTCAGTTATTTATAACAATGACCTGAGTATTTTAATATTTCCAGAAATAAGAGAATGAAAATAAAATAAGCCTTGTTACCATCTTTCCCTGAATATAAAAGAGCAGTTATATTACTGTGTAAAGTTAACATATCATAGATGTAATATTCTGGAGACAATGGTGCTTGGAAATTTTCATATTCTTCCTCTAATCATTTATATGTGTAATTACATTTCATGTTATTTGTGTATTTACATTCACCTTGTGTTTTTGGTGCTTGTTAAAATGTTGATTCCATTTTTCAGATTACTCCTTTAACCATACAGTTTCTGAATGACAAATTCAGCAAAACCTAAGCATGAGAAGAGAGGGACTCTGCCGCCCGGGATACTTGATAATTAGGATAACCATTCCTACTGTTTTGAAATGGCAGGTGGATACCCCTCCATAGCTGCCTGCCTCCCAATACAAAGGATTTTCTGGCTCTTTCATCTGAATGAATGATTTAGTGAGACGTGGTGAAACAGTACAGGTTGTATTTGTTTCCTGGGGCTAAAACATGAATGTGAACCTTACAGTCCCAGTAACTGGAAAACCCGGTTTTAAGAAAGCCATCCAGTTAGACATCTAGGTGTTTCTTTCCCCATTTTAGATGGAGATGTAACAGTTAACTTTGAAAATTCAAACGGGCACATGATACCCATCGGAGAGGAACCTACCCGAGAGGAAAATGTAGTAAAATCTGAAGAAGGTAATGGCTCTGTAGCTGAAAAAGCACCACCTCTGGAGGAAAAGGCAGAAGATAAGAAAGGTAAAATCAAGAGAAAGCCCATGTTCTTTTACTTCAATACAGCTCAGTGTTGAGAAATAGGTCTTATGCTCCAAATAGTGATCTAAGACCAGTAGAGAGGTTTACAAATAGAAGAGAGAAATTATAACTAGTGAAGAGGAATAGAATGATTTTCTTAGGTAGATGCATCCATTTTAGAAGCACGTCATTAATCTTTTATTAACAATACTAGCAGTGGTAATAAAAAGTATATGTAGACTCTTCCATCATTAAAGGCGCCTGGGGCTATGATTTTTCCTCAGGAACTTTTTCTCAATACTTTTTTCTTTTTTAAATCCATCAGTCTGAACACCTCTCCCTGCTGATTAGAACTGGCTGGGAGCAGCTCTGTATGGAGAAATTCCACACCACATGGCTCTTGCCACCCAGCACTGTCTCTCCAGTAGTGGGACTTTGGCTGGTGACATCCACACACCCAGTATGGCAGGTTTTAGTCCCAGGTCTAGACATTTCTGAAAGAGACCCAGAAATGGTTCCCAGGGATGCCAGGGACTTCTGGTCACAGCCTCTGTTCCATGATTTGTTTGTGTAATTGGAAATTCCAGAATATACCAAGGAGCAAATGTGCTGTTCCCTGAAGTCTTCTTTAAAGACCTTGGTTTCTAAAGTGAATATGCTATGGTAGATTGAGACACCTGCAAAATACACGTCTGTCAAGGACCCCCAGATCATTCACCAGTTCCTGGTCCCTGATTGATTACCTCTCCATACCACTGCCTATCACATGCAGGAACCTCCAAGCCTTGTACTTAATGCAAACCTGAACTGAAACTCCCACAAGCTAAGGCTTTATTGGGAGATTCGAGATGATTCCATGCAGCACAGAAATGAATCCTCAGGAAACAGACTATATATCCTGTTTTGTAATGTCTGCCTCTGAGTTGGATGGCAGAAATTTGTCAAACCTAGTTTGGGTTCTGTAGGCATTCGGAGAACTCTCAGAAACTACTGAAAGCAAACTCCTCTTCCTCTGCTCTTGACCCAAATCCTCCAAAGACAAAGGGAGCAAGAGCATTTGACAGACATTGTAACTTAAAATCATCTTCTCTGGAAGCCCTTAACCCTTTATTATTTGCATATAAATTAGCCTTTAAAATTTTAGAGGCCTCTGTGAATAATCTATTGGAAATTTATTATTTTTGGCTTTATTCAATATTAAGAATAGTATTCATGGGGCTTTATTTAGTGTTACTCCATTGAAGGGCTCTGGTTAAACTTACCGATACTGAGAACAAGAAATTAGCTAATATTTTTAATGATAATATTCCTGGAATATTTATTCCTAGAACAGATTTTTAGAGGATTTATTTGAAAGTAATTTATGCAATTATTTTAATGATTTTTTGTTTTTAATGCAACTGTCCTGTCTCACCAAACTGTTAAACTTCAAGTCCATCTGTGGTTTGTCCCTGGTACAACCTTCTTCATATTCAAGAATCACATCCCCTGTTACATAATAGTGTCATCTTCAGTGTTTGCCTGGTTTGTATAGAGTGTCAGTCAGCAGACTGGCCGAACTTCAAGGGAAGTGTTTCCCTTATTAACCTAATAAAGAGTTGTTGACAGTTTTATGTTAATTAAACCAACAGGCCTTGATGTTCTAAAAAGATACCAGACCTCATAGGCCCGTGGATATTTGAGGTGCTTTGCTTTCTTACTCTTTACTTAGAACTAGTACATTCAATTATTTTTGGTCAAATAAGGTCCAAGATAGCACCTTGCCTGGCTAGGCTGTACATGAGGAGATGGAGATGCTGAGCTTGCCGTTCCACCACTAATAAGAGGGCGGCCTAGACTCCCTCTGGCTGGGTGGATGGGGCACCTCCCAGAGCCACCCTGACAGGGAGGGGAAGCATTCTGTGTGAACCACCTGCCGAGAGCAAATGGAATGTCACCCACAAGTAACATTACATAGTATTATGTTAAATAGAACATACCTATAAACAAAGGTAACCATTTGTTTCTCTGGAAAGGCACCATTGAATCCTAAGAAACAAGATTCACTTGGTACATTTGTCCCTTTCGTGGTTTCACTCCCGGATGGAGCTCACTACCGCGCAAATCCACTACCCCATTTCTTAATTCACCCTAGTTTTGGGTTCAGTGTGCCCCTTCCTTTCCCATTAAGGCAGCTTATCCAAGAGTATATTTCATCTGTTAATTGGTAATATTTGCAAAACTGTATCACATGCCTTTAAAGTCCCAAATGCTTACATCTCTTTTTAAGACAATATGTCAGTACTTTAATATTTGCAACAGTGTCAAAGAAAACAAAACAAATGGCAAGTACCCTTTACCCTGCTCTGTAGGTAGGTTCTGCCCAGGACCCCTGAGTGGTTCTTGGGCTCAGAAGGTACCTGCATCTGGAGTTGGTACATTGGTCTGGGGCCTTCTCTGCCTAACAATGCAGGCTTTTTCCTTAAGGCCTCAGGTCTTTTAGTTTCCCATTATTTGTTCTCAGCAAGTGCCCTTAAATATATAAGAGGCAGAAAAACTGTTTAACAATCTGTTATATATAGCTTGGTATTCAAAAGGAGAAATATGAAAAGTATTTGATATTATTTCTACTGAGGTTAATTATAGAGACCTTTCAGTGAAGTAACAAGTGAATTACATGTACTTGTTCCACAAATAATAATGAGGGTCCACCATGGCTAAGACTCGCCTGGGGGCCAGAAAGAGAGTGGTGAATGAGAAATGGCCTTTGCCTTCCAGCAGATGAGGGCCTACAGGAGACCAGCATGCACACAGGCAATCGCAACGCAAGATGTAAAATACCCCGAAAGGGCTGAATACAGCAGCCTGGGGAGCCGGCAACAGGAGCCAGAATTGTTTCTTACAGGAGGATATTTCCAAACTGAGATCTGAAGAAGACAAGCAGTGGTCAGGGGAGGAAACGAATAGGGGCAGACGTGCATTCTAGGCAAGGTTCAGACCACAGGCAGGTGTCAGGTTTGCTCTAAGGGTTGTTGAGTTGAACCCACCCTCTGGTGGAAGGAACCAAACTTGGAAACAGAGTAAACAGCTGTCCTCCAGACTGTGTTGTTGTGAAGCAGTATCCTAATCAAGCCAGAGGGAGTAGGCAGCCCTTTCTTAACCTCCTTTGGAAAATAGAATACACTAGCCGTTTATATCATGTCTTCAATCATATGGCAATAATAAAAAATGCAGCTTACTTCCCCCCCCTCAGGTACAAGTATAGGTCTTCTTTTTAAAAGAAGAGAGTTTCTATGAAAACTTACTTAAGCAAAAATGGTATAAAGTTAAGTGATCACTATTAATTTATATGGGAAATTTTTTAGCATTTCCAAACCCAAAAAATAACCTCTTAGGCTTTTCTGATACCTTAGGACACATTTTGCTAATGGATCCACAAAATAAATTGAGATAAATAAAGCACAGCTGCCTAGAGACACAGTTCATAGCTCTGGGGCTCGATGCTGAGATGCTGAGAGTAGTTCTGGGGAAGGAGCTGGGCGGGGCCACCCTTGCTGTTGGGGTGCACGCTGCCTCTGTATCAGCTCCCTACAAAACAGATGCTGGGCACCATTTTTACTTTTTACCTTTTTTGGTAAAAGCAGAAATCTTCTTTGGATTTCTTTCGGTTAGCAAAACAGGTACTAATGCAGGTCTTGTAAAAATAAAGTGAACTTTTGGAAATAGGGGATACCTATGAGGGTTTTGATTTTGTTCTAAGGTGTGTGTTAATAACTAGCAGCCAATCAGATGCATTAACTGAATACATACAGTTTTTAAAGCATTGTGTTTGATGGGATATAAAATTCCAGACAAAAGAAATTTATAATTTAGTCAAGAAAACATATTGTTTGTGTGCACACACACACCCCAGGAATCTCCAGCATGAACATAAACGTTGGCCGTATGGCAGGCACACACAGAGAACTGGTACGGTTCACAGACCGTAGGGTGGGATGTGCGTTTCCACACAGTTTGTCTATACCATGCACATCTTCAGCCTGGTAGGGATTGTTATTCCCAACCGTCAGAGGTGAACATCTCCTCCTTCCCAAACCCAGAAGCTGGATTCTTTGGGGTTATTAACTTTAGAATTTGACACCGTAGGCAGAAAGAAGAAAGATCTCTCAGTGGTGGCCATAAAGGAGAGGATAAGATAAAACCTGTCAAGATTTGTAGTATGAAGAAGAATTAAGATGCTAAGTGTTACAGACCAGTTTGACAGGCTGTCACCCCAGGCAGTGTTACTGGCCTTGATCTCCATGCATGGTGTTAGGCTGCAGGCTAATCTTATACCGATTTTTATAAAGAAGTATTAAGGAATAGGCTCTGCCCTAGCAAGTCAATGTATATTTATGTGTTCTACATTAAAATAAAATATTCTAGATGTGCATCGATTTGCATTGTTCTCAACCCTAACTGACTCTTTGTGATTAAGAACCTTCTGGTTCAGACCAGATGGGTTAGGAGAGTCACTGCTTAGTTGAGAGGACATGATGTATACACAGAAAGGCAAACGTACAAAGTAGCCTCTGATAAATACTGAATAAGGAGCTCAGACAGTAAATACAAATAAGTTCAGTGGCAGGAGGGGACTATGGTGGATTTCATGGCTGAGAAAGGATAAAAGTTTAATTAGTTGCCTACTGTAACTTAAATCATTATTATGGTAGTTATATATGTTGATTGATGGTATATAGTAAAAAGGCAGGGAGTCTTTACTTCACACTCACTAGGATGAGAAATGAAACAAAATAAATAATAAAATGTGATGCATTCTAATATTAAAACCCTTACTTGGTCATTCAATAATAGAAGGATATATCCAGTAAAGGCTTAGTCTTGTCCTAACACTGTCTTACGTTTTTTTATTGTGCTCCATTTTTAAAGAAATGCTGCTTACCTCTTTGGAACAGAACTGGATTTTAATTTATTTAAATTTCAATCAGCCCCTCCTACAAAACATAGGGGTGTAAATCTATGAATTAACATTCAGTATGTCCACTTTCAATAATGAGAGACTCATACTGTTTCTCTTCTAGTTATACAAAACTTTGTGAGAGGCTAGAAGTCTTAGGTATGAATTTTTTTTAATGAATTTTAACCTTTGCTTGTTAAAATTGTTACTTGTGTTTACATTACAAAGCAAAATTTGATATTTTTTTTATTCTGTGCCCTCTCTACCTCTCCTGTGACACTGAAAAGGTCAGAGGAAGTTACTGTGAAGCAGGAAGCTGCCCTGGTGTACCAGGAGAGCTTGAGGTGATTTTCACAGTAGGAAATAGTTTATTCGGCGGTGCATTGTGCTTTCTGTAAAAGATTCTACAGAGTCTCTCTTAGCTTACTGAGGAAATGCCTGATTTTTGACCATAATGAGACAGAGCTCAGATCCCTTTCAGGCTGGTGGGGCTGAGTGCCCCTGAGACAAAGTGCTGAAGCTCAGAGTCCAGTCATCTCTGCACTGTCAGTCCTCACTCCTTGCTCGCGTGTGTAACAATGCATCTGCCACTCTTCTGTTAGATTTAAATTTAGCATTCCTGCCCATGTTGTCATCCAGCAACCACTGATTCAAGGCTGGCCGTCTTGGCCCCAGATGGTGGACATCTATACCCATCAGCCTGACTTCATCACACTGACTTGTGCAAACCTATTTTCACACGAGTGATTCATGTACCTGGAGAACACACCCCTGTTTGACTTTCAGCCTTTGTACTTTTGATCCTTTATACCCCAAAGTTTGCTTTCTCTGGTGCAGAACACCACTGTTTCCCAAGGGCTAAGCACATTTTGTATCAGTGTCACTGTATGTCTTTCTCCTGCTCCTTCTACGGTGTGTGTCTGTATCAGTCTGCTTCTGTTCACTTTCTCATTTATAGAGAACACTGAAAACCACTCTGAAACATCGGCAGCTCCTGCTCCACCTCCTCCAGCTCTTCCTAAACCTAAACCCAAACCTAGGCCCAAAAAAACACCTGTGTCTCCAAAAGGGGCCGCTGCTGGTGCCGGCCCCAAGGGTGACGAAGTGCTTCCTATTAAAAAAATTACCAAGGCTCCTGGTAAGCAGGCCCCCATCCCTCCACCCAAGCCAACAAGCCGAAACACGCCCCGAGAGGCCGGTGAGTATGCCCCCTGTGGGCCTGAGTCTTAGGGTGCTCAGCTCTGGGGTGGGGCTGATTGCTGCTTCTAGGAATGATGGCCTTTTTGGTGTCTGGTGTCTGGTGTTTTGCAGTGTAACCCCAGTGGATTCAGCTTTGACATTGAGAACGCCCAGGAGATTCCTTTATTTCTCTACTAAAGGAAAGCCAGCCAGTTGATTAGTTTGATCTCATTGGTTTTGGGGTGCATAGACCTCTTTTAGGCTGAGTATCCACTATCTGCACAAGAACCAGTAGGATACAGGGAGTAGTGTGCCTGATGAATGACGATCTAATAAGGCATTGTTTGGACATCGACTGGCCTTCTGCCTGTTTAAGTTTATGAGTGGCTTTTTGGCCTGGGTTTTCTTTAAAAATATCTTATGTTTGCACATTAGAAAATGATATTTACTTCTTTGACATATTGGCTGGATCTCAATGTCTTAAATCTCCACATTCATAGTAGTCATTTTTCTACTATCAAATAACAAAAGGTTCTTATCACTCGGGTCAGCCCCTCCCCAGCACTCTCCACTGGAGTCACAGCTATTCTACTGGAGATCAGAGTTACATGCTCGGTGCTCACTCCCCGACGCCTCCCCAACTTCTGTGTGTTGTAAGGAGAAGCAGCCTGGCAGTGTGGTTACATGTCACTATTACAAATCACTGGGAGTGTTTTTGTTACACAATAGCTTCATGTAATGTGTGTCCAGCTGTCCTTTCAATTCAGATATGTTTAATGCAAACTGGTGCTCCCTATCTCCTCATGAAGTGGAATAAAGAAGCCTACCACATCATCCAGCTTTCAGAAGGACAATAATTGAAGTATACATGCTGACTGGCTTTTTGACTTTTTCCCATTAACATGCATAAAAATTCTGTATTATAGCAAACCTGATTTTCCTTAAAATCAGCAGCAACTTCCTCACAAGTGGATACAGGATATGCCTTGGGATTGGTCTTTTCCCTTCCCTGTCATTTATACCCCCATGCTCAGATTCAAGGAGTGGCTTCATTGACCAGATAGATGTCTGCCCCCATGTTCCTCTCTTCGGCCTTTGGCCCTGAGTGTCTGGGTCTCCTCTAATCCGCTCTGAAATGAAATGTCCCACAATGTTGTGTCAACAGTGCCTATAGGCATTTCCGCAAGGACAGCTGCTTACATGTCAGCGTTCAGCATCCGCATCCATTCTCATTGGTGTCCTTGTTTCCCAGACTGCGTAGCAAAACAAACCCTTGGAGCAGTGCTTTAAGTGAGGCAGGCACTGATCCACTTCTTAAAGAACAGCCCCAAACTATCGCCCTGTCCTTAGGAATGAAGACCCTGCCTTACACAAACTTCCCTACTTCCTCATGCCCCTCATGGAGTGGCTCACCACTGACTCAACCTGAACTCTGTCTTTATTCTCTCAGAAGAAAGCTGGTGATTAAGGCCAGGACAGGGGACAGCTTTCATGAGAGATTTGGAGTTATTTCCAGATATTTTACATGAAGATTTATTTATAGACTCCAGATGTTCCTAAGAGAATAATACAGTACAGTCATGTTATTCATTGTATTTAAAAGAGGTCCAACTGGCCCAAAGTATAGATAAGAATGTTGCTATTGTTGGGTCTACCACAGAGAAACAGGGATTGCACTGAAGTTACCAACAAGCCCATTGGGTAAGGATGTTTTTATCAAATATTGATACAACTACTTGAGAATCTAACTGATACTCCATTTGTAAACATATATAGAACTTTCTACATGGTAACTTTGTTTCATTGGAGTAATGACGACCTTCTGGAAAAGGCACTTCAAATACTGCTCTTAATTTTTTCAGTCAGATGTTTTAAGTTCTTAAATAAGTTACCAGTTAAGATTCTTCCTCTATTACTGAGTTAGTAGAGACCTCCAGTTAATCAGATACCAGCTTTGCTTTTCAACTGCTTTAGCAGTGATGTAAGGGAAAATCTCCTGTATTTTTTTCTTTCTCATTGTTTCCCACTGTATAGCAGCAAAGTACTTAACTGAGGAGAAATTTCACATCTTTTTTTAGTCATGGCCTTAATCCAAGATAACTTAGGTAACATGGTTTATTTCAGCAAAGTCCTATCATTTTAGAAGATACTTAAAGAAAAATAGAATAACATGGCTTGATTTTGCACCCCAAGCATTGAAAAATTTGTCTTTTTCCCTAATCGAGACTCAAGTTAACTTATGCTATTAGACAAGAATGTTCTAAAAAAAACAACAACAAACTATTAGAATTGACGTGTGGAAAGGATTCTGTCAATTTATCTAAGAAAATAATTGAACATGTTTAGACATCCTTAGCCTCTTTGTTGTAAAAAATAAATTTAGAATGGCCTTAGATTGTAGAAGCATGCATAATACATTTCTTATAAGCAAATGAAGATTGTTAATTTCAAAGAAGTAATATTAATAGGCCCGGACTTGTGGGAGTGGAGTTCTAGTGATTATATGTTTCTAAAATAATAAAGACCCCAAGGCACAGAGGCTTCTTGGATCTTGGACCAAGTTAGATGGGCTTTCTTTTAGGATAGTAGAATTGGTGAAGTCATACATCTCAGTGTCTGTTCTTTTGTCTCTATCTCTTGACTTTCCCAATTGACTTCAATAGTTATTACCAGAGGTGAGTTATAACAACATCTGTATTCAATGTGGATTGACTCCACAAACTAACAAGATATTTTTAATAGTTCTGTGGAAGATAATTTAATTCCCCACAAAAAGAATGAGTGTGTGATATTATTACAGAAGAAGCAATTAGAAATGTATAGTTCGTAACGATCATGAAACAAAAGAGTATTCTCATAGGAGTTTAAATGTATTTCCTAAGACGGTATCAAGAAAAGGAGAGTTAGGCCTTTTTTTGTTCTCTTTCCTGAGAATGGTTTGGTTGAAGGCAGGCCTATCCAGAAATAGGCAAATACACCACAACCATCTGGTGAAGACCCTCCCGGAACCTAAGTGGTGAGGAAGATTGGATATGTGAAGCTTTTCAGAAAATCTGAGAAGGCCATCTCTTTGCCTTCACATTATTCAGATGCTACCCGTTTAGTTACAAAAAGAAAAATTTTTGCCTTTTGGCATTTCAAAGGGGACTTGTCTTTCATATGTGACCCTGTGTTTTCACTCTGCCCCGTCACCACTGCGGGTGGGCCAACACGGCAGGCTGCTCTCTCTGAAGCCATGGGGGTAGCTGGTTTGGAGTTCCCTCTTGTAGCAGTAAGATGAGTAAATTTGTTCTTAGTCCAGAAGGGAGCTGGTGAAACATAACTCTCTTCTGAATACGGGCCACGCCATCCTCAGAAAGACATCAGAGAACAAGTGGGATTTGTGATGAGCCTAATCTCATCCTGTGCCCGGGCAGCTGCTAGTATTGTGCTCACTACACTGTCATGTCCCTTCTTTGGAGTATAGAGGGACTTTTTCAGGTGACCCACAGAACAAGGAGCTGAGGATTTCCCTCCATCTGGCCCTACTAAAGACTAGACGAGGGAGAAGACAAGGGGCTCTCATTTCTGAGGGTTTTGCCGTAGCATCACCAGCTTCCTCTTAGAGTGGAGGCAGGAAGGGGGCATAAAATCAAGCCATTATTAATATTAGCCTATTTTCTTTTATTCAATAAATGTTAACATTTTAAAGGGAACATGGTATTGGTAATTGCAGCTTACTCGTTTTTTTTTTAAAGTGTTGTCTTCTCTGACTTCTAATGCAAAATCTCTCCATTCTAGCTGGTTCCTCTCATTCAAAAAAACCAACTGGCTCCAAAGCATCAGCTTCACCGTCTACTTCATCCACCTCATCTCGCCCCAAAGCTTCAAAGGAGACAGTTTCTAGCAAAACAGGGACAGTGGGCACCACAAAGGGCAAGAAAAAACCTGGCAAACAGCTGTCTCGACCATCCTCAGAGGCAACTGCTTCTGGTGTGTCCGACCTTAAAGGAGAGCCTCCAGGGACCAGCGTGCAAAGTCTCAAACCGGAGCAGACTATCCCTGGGGCCGAGGAGCAGACCGCAGGCAAATCCAAGTCTGCAGTCCCTCTGCTCCCTGGGGCTCCTCCTCCAGCCCCTCTTCCTCCTGAGGAGCAGTATATGGTTGCCTCAAACACTCCCATAGTCCTAGTCAGCAATGGCACTGACCTGCCCATCCCTGCCTTAGACCCAGGTCATCCTCTCTGGACTGAAGAGCCGACAAGCAGAACCACTGTCCACTCAAGCACTGGCTTAAGTGTTAGCAGAGAAAGCGCACAATGGTAAGTCGGGGTACAAACCCCATATTCCATCTGTATTCCCTACGGAACTGAATACTAAGGATCTCCAAACCACTCTGTTAGAAATGAAGGAACCTACTTTGATTTTTATCATTTAATCTAGTGAATGTCAGGTAAGCACATGTATGATCCAGCCCCTGGTTTTTCATAGCCCTGCTCCAGGAGTACCACGGGCTGCTGGAGAAAATCACGGTGGTCCTCCTGACAGAATCCGCCTCAGGTCCCCGGCTCTCGGGTGCATGCAGAACCTGGTGCCTCATCCTCAGCAGGCCTTTCTCTTTTCCCTAGACAGTCCCCTTCTCTTTCCTTACAGTGGCTATTTTAAATCTTTACCACATGTGTCCAGGTTGCCCACCCACTCCTGCCTACCTTCATTTCAACAAGTTATTTATCCTTCTCCTCCAAGAAAACAAAGACCATCAGGAAAGAACTCTTTCAAGTCCCATCTCCTTTTCCTCCAGCCTTAAAGTGGCTCCTTTTCTTGCTTCCTCAATTCCCCACCCAACCTCTCAAATGTTATCTCCCCTGGGAAGCTTTCCTGTACTCATCCAGACAGAACCCGTTGTTGCATCGATTATACTCTGACAGCCATTTTTCTACCTGTTTGAGATAGAGGTAAGAAGTAAGACATGTTGGGAAAGAGCTATCCAACATGTCTTATTTACCTCTATAACCCTGGCAACCAAAACTATATCTGGTATGCCACAGGCATCTCATCCAGTTGCCAAGCCAGAAGCCTGGATTCCTCCTCGGGTCCTCATTCTCCTTTGTTCTCTGCATCTAACCCTTCACAAAGTCCTGTACATTTTCTGCTTAAAGATAGAGAAGACATGTTAGCTCTCCTGTCCCACAGGTATGAGGAGACAGGATATCAGATGTCAGGATGTCAGAGTATAAAAGACGCCATAACCCCTTCTGTCTAGGGAAGGCTTGGAACTCTTAAATCCAGCCTCTTCTCTCCAGTTTTTAGGAAGAAAACCAAAATTGCTGATAATGACCTTCATTTATTGAATACTTATTTCATGTGAGGAACTATCAATCATGATTTAATTCACGTAAGTCTTCCCTGAAATATCTCTGTTTAATAGGTGAGAATGCTGAGGCTGAGCTTGCCCATGATCACCCAGTTAATAAGTGGCAAGACCAGATGCACACCAGAGCTGCATACTGAATTCCATGCTCTAAGTAATATTATTCATTTCCAAAGCAGCTGCTTCTACTTCTTCTGCAGTTTCTTTTCTTTTTTTCTGCTTTTATTTTTATCATTTTGAGTACCATCATGTCAAGGAAAGATAAATGTTAAATTGAAATTTATTTTGTTTGATAGTTTAATGATTTGAAAGGATATTGAAATGAATGATTGTGATGTCCTTAATGCTTTGGCATATAGAAAATGCCTTCATTTCGTTAGGGTGTTTTCCGGCATTACAATCCATTGCAACTTTTAGAACTGAATGGTTGTTCTTTGAGCTTACGGTGTTTGTATGCCTTCTACATGCTGGGCAGTACACTAAGCATCAAAGATACAAAAGTAAGGAAAACCTTGTATTTAAGATAAATTGTTACCAAAATAATGTCCAACTCAGGAATTGTCAGTGTTTAAGATAAGGTCTTAGTTTAGGGAAATAGATTGAGCATATGAGTATATTCATTATACTGTCTTGCAAGGTGCAACAAGGTGATTCCTTAGATAAGCTTCAAAGGAGACAGTTTCTAAGAGAGACCTGACTCTATCCATCCACTTCCACAGACATTTAGGGAGGGCACTATATTGTGCTAAACTCTGTGCTACATGCGGGGGCTTTAATATCAGTCTTCAGCCCACATATACACAGGATTGTCAGACAAAAGAGGTGAACATCTGTTTTACATTTCCACTGGGACTATGATCAGATAGTGAGCTTAGAGCACCATTAGACACTGAAGTATTTATAACAGATTCTCCTGTCACTCAGGGAAACTATAATGCTTTCCTAGAAGAGAGCATAGAGATTTTCTTCTCTGTATATTCTTCAAAATTAAAATTTTAAATTATAGTTCATCCCACAGAGGTGGTTTGTGTTTGCTTTTGAGTTAATGAGCCTTCAGTAAGTTGTCTCTCAATTTTCCTTCCAGATTCCTTCTTCCATTTTTAAGTGGATATTTGAATTGGAATTTCTGGCTCTTAGTCACTTGCTTTACTTAGAACTCTCCCTCAGTTATGCTTTGAGATGAATGTGTGAAAAATCCTGTCATTGTATGAAGAGGCTCCTGTTGGGAATACAAATATCAAAACTTCAAAAAGACAAGTGGCCATTGTAAAAATATCTACCTCTATTCACATATTGCAGGAAAGTAACTCTTTGGTAGATTTCTAATCATTGGCAGTTTCATCAGTGATATATAAGTGTGGTATAATTTAAACCAGAAACTAATAAGCCCATCTGGAGCCTGTGTCCAAAGGGACTTGACTGTATTTAGCCCATTTCCACAAACGCTGAGTTCATCGTATCCTCCAATGTGCCCAGGAAACTTCGGGGGAAAAAAAGAGCCAAATCATTAGTTGATTGATACAAATTTAGAGTATTAAATATCAAGTTAAATACAATCTGTAGTAACAGTATAACAATATTAAGTATAAAATAAAATATAATACTTAATAGGTAAATTAATAGTCTTAAATATGGGTTCTAGAGTGGAGTTGCTACCTTGTACCTTTTTGGGTAATGCGAGCTATAAATTATCTGCCCTTCTTATACTTATAGTACAGTCGTAAGTTGTAAATGTCACAGAAGTCTTTGAGAACTGCAAAACATGAAATACAAATGATGAGATTAAAATGATAGATACCATAATAAGTTAGTGTACAGTAATATAAATGATTATCAGGGCTCAACCCCAAGATATCTTTTGTTCTGCTCTTCCAAATGTGTTATTGATTGACATACCTGTTAAATGTGCTGTGGTCACCCACAATGGCAGACTGTTGAAACAAGAATGACCTCCAGTGACAATCAACTAGAAATGAAATGCAGACAAGAAAAGTTTTCCCATGAGATAGATCTTCTCCCACTTAAAATGAGATTTCACACTGGGGAAACAGTATGGTGGTTCCTCAAAACATTAAACACAGAATTACCATATGGTCCAACCATTGCACCTCTTCTGTACATAGCCAAAAAAAATTGAAAACAGGTACTCAAACAGATATTTAAACACTGATGTCTATAACATCATTATTCACAATAACCAAAAGACAGAAATAACCCAAATGTCATTGATTGATGAATGGATGAACAAAATGTGGTATATACATACAATGGAATATTACTTAGCCTTAAAAAGATTGTGAATACATGCTACAACATGGATGAACCTTGAGGACATGCTAAGTGAAGTGAAGTAAGTCAGACACAAAAAGACAAATGCTGTATAATTTCACTTATTTGAAGTACCTAAAACAGTGAAATTTAGAAACAGAAAATAAAATGGTGGTTGACAGGGACTGAGGGAAAGACAAGAAGCAGGAAATTATTGTTTAATGGAACAGTTTCAGTTTGGGAAGATGAAAAAATTCGGGAGATGGATGGTGGCAGTTGTCACACAAACAGTATGAATGTACTGCCACTGAACTGTACACTCTAAAATGGTTAAACTGATAAATTGTATGATATGTATATTTTACACAAAAAATGAACCACCTTTGAAAAGAAGAATTTTGGCTGTTGTAGAATCTTCAAGACTTAAGATTCTGATATCTGTTCTGATTCTGATTACCTGTTTTATTAGTCAAAGAACTGCTTTGGGATTTTGGGTTTTGGGGTTTTTTTTTTATTAATGAAGACAGCAAGCACATGTTTTGAACTAAATGGTCTCTCAGAAATGTCACATCCAAATTTAGATTCTTATATTTATATCAGAAGGCAATTTGGGGATGTTTTATATCTTACAATGAAGAGTCCATTATTTTTTATATGATACATTGTTCATGTATATCTTTTATTCTAGTCCATGAAAATTAGCAAGCTTTGTATATTTATAGTAACTTTAAATGAGAGATTTGTACCAAACTAAATAATAGAAAATTATTGCATCCTTATCCATCAACTCTCTTTTAAAGTATCCACTCCACTTTCACATTTTCCATCTCAGGTTCTTAATAATTAATGTAGTCCTGTGAGAGGCAGTTTTACAAATGGATAAACCAAAGAAGGGATGTATGATTTTTTTACTTTTGACTCAAAAAGTTGGCTGTGATGAAATAGGATTAATTCACACATCAATTAAAAGAGGTATACTTTAAAAAAGAAAAAAAGAGGTAACCTTTTGTATGTCACTACCCTTCTTTGCTGGGTTGCAAAACAGTATGAATCCCATTTGTCAAGGTCCTTTCGTCATTGGAAAGGCAGGCAGGAAAATGGTGGCCGAGGTGCAGTGGGCCATGTGCTCCAATGAAGTTGTCTTCAGGTCATCGTGGAAGCAGGGAGATGGGGCAAGGAACTAGACCAAAGGCCCATGAAAGATTCCTGAAGAAGCTAAGGCTTTCATGGACACTTGAAGAATAAGTAGGAGTTACAGGTGAAAGAAAGAGTCCAAACTCAAATATGTAGGAACTTCTAGCCCATCGTCTTTCCACTGAACTTCCATTGCTAGGGAGGTTTGCAAAATAGAGTTTTCCCATATTCAGGCACTAAATATATCTGACTTCATCTAGTTAGTCATTTTCCTTTATTTTTATTTTTATTTTTTTATTAAGGTATCACTGATATACACTCTTATGAAGGTTTCACATGAAAAATTTTGTGGTTACTACATTCACCCATATTATCAAGTCCCCCTCACACCCAACTGAAGTCACTGTCCATCAGCATAGTAAGAAGTCAGTCATTCATTTTCATTTTACATATGAAGAACTGAAAAACTTGAGAAGTAATACTTTACTGCTCTTCCATTTCAGTGGCTTTAGCTGGCCCATCTGCTTTCTCCTCCCACCAGCCTGAAGGCTGCTCATGAAGCTGGAACCCCTTCTCCTGGAGTTGGTTGCTCTGAGCTTCATACCACCCCTGTTGTTGTTGTGCCTCTGACAGTTTCACAACCAAAGATGAGCCAGGAAAGGCAGTACCTCAGCAGCTGAGCCCAGGGCTGATGGGAGAACCTTCCGGATCCATCAGCACCCCTCAGGACACGAGCCCAAGGGAATACCAGGCCAACGACTCTGATTCTGATGGGCCTGTCTTATACACCGATGATGATGACGATGAAGAGGATGATGACGAGGATGGCAATGGAGAAAGTAAGAGTCTTCAAGAGGTGGGGAGGTGGACAGAAGCAGCTGGGTCTTATAAAGAACAAAGGCCTCATTAGGAACCAGACATCCAATATTTTCTTTCCCAACAGATTCCCTCCTCCGATTAGAAATGTGTATTTCCTAAGTTTTGGCTTTTGATGATAGGCTTTTTCCTGATGACGATACCACAAGGGCAGGGGATCAGGCCTTCGTCTATAAGGCTGACATGCATATTTGTATTTGTATGAAGAATCAAAGCTGCCTAAAGACAGGCCTCTCTCAGAATGATCAAAGATCCCTTCCACCCTGGGATCTTTCTTGAATAAAAACCATCAGGGTAGGACTCACTGGATTACTCACTGGAGGTGTTGGACAATTTCATTCACTTTTATACTAGGGTTGAAAGAGAAGGGAGGGAAGAATGAGTCAAGAATGGCAAGTGCCTTTTAAGATCTAAGAACAATCACTCATCCACAATGAGTAAGATAGGATAGTAAAGTGGAAAAAGTCAACCATTTATGTATAACTTACGGAACAGAAAAGTGCTTTTTAAAAAAAAATTTCTCAGCAGGATTCACTATGGAGTTGAATTTATAGATTGTGGAAAGTCATTAGTGTATTAATGATGAAACATCAGTTTGTCTAATTCTTTCTAGTTTGTCCTGAACAGTAACAAAAACGTCATTATCATCCATTTGGTATTAACTTTCTGTTGAGATGTCACAGATTCCTGGGTAATTAAGTATTAAAACATTGGTACCAACAATATACTTTTGCCAACTTGATTTCTGGGTAGAAGAAAGGGAAAGATAGGGATTTATTGTATAGTGTAAGTAAAGGAGCTAAGTATTTAAGACTTAAGACAGAAAACACAGAAAAAGCATTACACAATTAGTAATTTCCTTGATATGCCGTCTCAGCAAAATAAACTTCAAATGTCACCAGATGATGAGGTGATAGAGCAAGGCTTTTCCTGGTGCCCTAACATTTTTCAGAACATTTTAAAAATAGTTCTTCAGTTTTTCAAAATGAACTACATCCAACTCAAAACTTTTTTATTGCCCTCAGGTTAATTAAAATTCCACTCTTGCCTGTGGTTAAAGAATTTCATCTGGACTCTGTTTACAAAGTCCATGCCTTATGTAACCTGAGTGCTACTTGCTAAAAGCCTCTCTCTACATTTCTTTTCCAACCCTCAGGTGCCTTGGCAAGTAAAATACGGCGAAGGGATACTCTCGCTATTAAACTTGGCAACAGACCATCTAAGAAGGAACTAGAGGACAAGAACATCTTGCAGCGTACATCTGAAGAAGAGAGGCAGGAAATCCGACAACAAATTGGAACCAAGCTAGTCAGGTAATTGCTAAAATTTTAGTACGGCTTTGACTAATTCAAACTTCAGCCTCTTACAGGATCCTACCTGAGATCATTGTGATTTCCTTGGAGATGGCACCCCTGGTGTTTCACAGTTGGTCCTGGATGGTGAACCGCTCAGAGCAGCTGCCCTTTCATCCCACTAGTCAGTGGCTTTGAGGTTGCCAAAGCCTGAACCAAGTGTCAGCAAACTTTTTCCATAAAGGACCAGTTCATAAATACTTCAGGCTTTGCAGGCCAGAAGGTCTCTGTTCCCACCGCTCAACTGTGCTGTTGTGCCATGAAAGCAGCCCTAACAGTATATAAACAAATGAGTCTGGCTGTGTTCAGTGAAACTTTATTCATGCAAACAGGCAGCAGGCTGGATTTGGTCTGTAGGCCAACTCCTGGCCTAATTCATGGAACTCCTGTGATTCATGCATTCCTGTAATTGCCATGAATTCTCCCCTGTGGGATCTAAGACCGTAGAAACATTAGCTTGCATGGCCAGCTCCATCCAAGTCAGGTAACCATAATGCCTCCTCTACCTGAACTTCCCCCTTTTAACTTCAAATAAATGGTTATCTGACTCCTCTTTTCACCTCCAGCCATTATAAGATTCCTACTTTTGCCACAGGTGACTGGAAATCACTTAACTGGCAGTTTTAATAGAAGGGCGTGCCAAAGCTCACATTTTTATGAGCAGTTTAAGCAGATTAAGTATTATGTATTTTGCTGGCTTCTCTCACTATGCATAAACAACAGGAGGCATACATTTGGAGACAGGAACAGTCTGGAAAACCAGAGCAAGATTTGGAGGTGGTAGGAAATTCTTCTCCTTGCTTGGAAGTGAAAGGCTTCTGTTATTGCAGTATACCTGAGGGGTTGGCATGTGCCCTTTATCTGGGTACAGATGGGGCCAAGCAGAGTCTTGTGAGGATTAAACGAGATGATACATTTAATGCCTGTGTCATACCAAGCACTTAATGAAAATAAATATTTTAATTATTAATTTAAATTACTATATATCTCTTAAGCTAATCACTTTTAAACATTAAGCCCAGTGTTGGCTATCTTTCAAGAAAGTGGAACACATGTACATTGCTCTTATTCATTATTTCCAAAGAACAACTTAACAATATGAAAGAAGTTATAAAGCACTCTATTTCTTCACATGGTAATTCTATTTGGGAAACTATACAACAAGGGAATAATCTAAAAGGGGGAAAAAACCCTATATTTTACAGAGATGTTTATTCCAAGGCTATTTATAGCAGTGACAAAACAAACCAAAAACAGGAGACTGATAAAGAATAATGTGAGAGGTTGACACCAAGAAAAAAAACACAGACCAGTGGCTTTCTAACTGCTTCCTCAAGGGTTTCTCGGACTTGATATTCGGGGCTTTGATGCAAAGATCCCAGGAAGTGTGGGTGTGTTTCTGGGGTAGGACGAGAGAGGACTGCATCATCCCAGGTTTAATCATGCAACCAGAACAGCACCTCTTCTGTCTGCTGTACATAACAATTCCACCCCAGACCCCCAAAGTCTGAGAGCCTCTGTAAGTACACACATAGACCATATTCATAAAAAGTCTTTTTGGATTAGGGTTTTTGGTGTTAAAAATATGTAATTTAAAAAACAATTCACATTTTGTTTTTCTATGAACACAGCACATCTAATCACTGCCATTCAAAGATAAATTGCCCAGAGTTCCTACCTTAGGGAACCCCATATATATGGAAAGCAACAGAATTATATATTGCATGATGGGGTTACGTGAAAAGCACAAATATTTAAGTCAAGAGAACTAGGTATGGATTCTAGCTCTAGTGTTTTAGGCAAGTGAATTAATTGTTAATTTCCTCATTTGTAAAATGGGAACTGGCTGCTATCTTGCCAAATTATTTTCAGGATTCAAGATAACATGAGTTAAGCACCTAACACAGTGCCTGGGACTTTAAAAGTATAAAGTAATAAAAGCCATGATGATTATCTTTATTATCACTAGTGGGATAAGTGCTTTAATAGATGTATAATCTGTGTATAAGCCCTGTATAGGATCAAAGAACCAGGAGCTTTTCATTCTTACTTGCAGGTCAAACACCCACCTTCCAGGTATTATTTTGGTCATTTGTAAGGTTTCAGTGGGTGCAGAAGGAGAGGAAGGGCATTCCAGAGGGAGGAAGCTTCATAAACAAAAGAAGGCTGCTGTCTTCGGGGGATGATATAGTATAGCTATGATATGTGTATCTTCAGGATACCTGGGTACATGGAAGGTACAAAATCTGCTGGCAGAGATGTTCACTGGGTTCTTTTGTAGGCTCAGTTATTTAAGATGAAAATAAGTGAGTTATTTAAAATATCATTTATTTCAAATCTCAATACCATTTCTGTCACAGCCATAAACATTTAAAATTAATAGTATCAGTTTAAGGTTACCTTTCCTGGATATTGGTTTAATTTGTGCAGACTCAGCCTACATCCAGGGAAAGATTTTGTCTAATTAACGACAAATTAATGTAAACAAGACCAAGGAGAGGGTTCTGAAGGGTTATTAGGACATTCAGCTTTTGTGTACAAATAGTGGCTACTAATTACAAAGGAGCCTGGCTTTCCTTGAAGGCAGATCGGAAGGGCCTATATATCTCAAGATGTCTCTATGTATATTGTTAATCCATTTGAGATCACAAAAGCAGTATTTCACTTAAAATACTGCACAGTATTGTTTGATCATCTTTTAGGTTGGTATGGACTCCTAAGCAGAAGCCTTTTTTTTTTAGATTCTGATGATCTGTATATTAATTAGGGGATGGACTAAGCTGCTCTAATGAAGACCAAAAAAGTGCAGTGGTCCAAATAAGGTACTTTAACTGGTTTATTTCTTTTTCACCTAACAGTCAACAGGAGTCGGGATGTCTAGCACTGCTCCTTGTAGCCAGCTGGGCCCAGGTTCCTTCTGTCTTGCTGCTCTTCCATCCCTGTGGATATTCTTATCTGCAGGATCTGAGCTGGCTCACACGCCCATGTTTCAGTTCTAGCCTATGGAAGGAGAGAGAGAAGGGAATATGCATACTGTCATTTTAAGGGTGAAAAGCAGACATTAAAAACACTTCTGCTCACATCCCATTGCAAGGACTCAGTCACATGGCCACACCTTGCTGTGAGGGAGGCAATCTGTAGTTGGGGGCTGCTGCTAAAGCTCAGGAGACTCTGCATCTAAAAGGAAGAAGGGAAATGGATAATGGGGGGTAGTTAGCAGGCTCAGCCACAACCTCTAGTCTCCAAACTAATAGGAGACCTTTTTTAGGTTTAAAAATGGATTTTTTTGTTTTATTTTACATCTCCTACAAAGGGGACCTTGTTTGTAACCTGCAGTATATCCTTTTTGTCATCATAGGAGACTTAGCCAGAGGCCCACAAGTGAAGAATTAGAGCAAAGAAATATTTTAAAACGTGAGTATTCCATACTATATAGTGATTCCTTGTGAACCATTAGCAAGCTCCCTTTAGAGATGATACATTTATCAGTAGGAAACCTTAAAATGTTTATTCACAAATGATTGAAACGACTCATTTAGATCACATTTTTCTAGAAGTGTTTATATAATTCAAAAAATAATTTCTTGAAGTTTGTATTTCATTTTATGGCTTTGAGCCTGATATGCCCCAGATCAGATTTGTGGTTGTGACAGTTGTTTTTAAGAATGAAATATACTTTATGTGTCTTTCACCCAAATATAAAATAGAAGAACATGCTCTAGACTGCTTACCAATAAATGTCAAAGAAAAGTCCCGAGAATCCACAAGGAAATAAGTCAAACATTCCTATATTATTATTAATCATTCTGTTTGTTGCCAGGTTTCAATGACTCAGTTTAAACCAGAATATGGCAAAAGGAATTTTTCAATCCATTTCATTTTCCTTTGTTATGATAACTGTTTCCTTCTTGAGTTATTTATAATCTCTCACCACTAAAGGAGTTCGCCATTCATTTCCCTCCTTTATTTTCCCATTCTATTTTCCCCTTTGTTTTCTTTGACTTTACTTTTTACTCACCCATCCAGTAGTTTTTCAGTTATTCAAGTTCATATGTTAAAGCTATAAAACTGATGGAAGTGCAGTTTGTCATTGCTATAGTGTATCAGTGTGGTTACCTACCACAGTGAGTGAAGTAATGGATATTTTTTAATTGAGCCTAGCTGCAGTTTTATATGTTAGTAATCCAGTTTCAGAAGAGCTTTTTATTGTGTGAAATATCAAAGAGCAGGGATGGGCAGAACTCTGGATAGTAATACAATAGTAATGAGCCGCTGGCGTGCAGGAAAACTTTTTCAACCAGGCCTTTAGAGCCAAGTTGGCCTGTCTGGATGGTCCTCATGCTCCAATCAAAGTTGTTTTCTTTCCTGAAGGAAAGAAAGATGTTAATAGTGTATTTATACTACAGTTGCTATTGCTGAGAAAATCCAACAGTGAGTGGAACTGCCAGTCTGTGTGATTTTTTTTCCTTGGAATGCTTTTTTTCTGGCTCTCTGTGAGCATAATGGAATAGAACCCAAAGAAGGACTTCAGTGACCATCAGTGTTTGAAGAGCCAATTTGGAGATGGAAAATGTCACAGCTAAAAAAAGAAAGAAAAAATGTGTTTTAGCTTTCTAAGGAATGATGAAAGCAACTTCTAATTTTGACAACAAAACAAAACCAGAAAGGCCCATGACGTTTGATAATAGGTTCCTAGAAAAATTTGTTGAATTAAATTTTAGGTAAACTTAACTGCAGACCAGAATTTCCTAAAACACAGAGATTATGTCTTCTCGGATGCCTGATGCAATACCTAAGAAAAAAGGAAGAATGAAGTCTGGGTGATTCTTTCCTGCTCCTGTGGGACAAATAGTGCCAAACCACATTGGTGTTTGGTTATTTGAGGAAATGTTTCACAGATCTAGAAATTTATTCTGTGTTGATCTTAAGTGCTGGGTTGGCTTTTATACCCCATTTTCCTGGAGGTATGGGAAAGAGGGAAACGCCAAAGTCAACTTCAGATTTAACTCCAGCACAGTTTTACTTCCTTCCTCATTTGTCTAAGCATGCTTATTCTGGAAACAAAAGACACATTTCTAGTCTGGAGATGTTAATAACTGGCTAATGCCCTCCTGACATAATATTATATGGGCAAGGAAAGCAGAAAAGAGAACTGGTGGAGGTCATCCAGAGCATTGTGCTGAGCAGACACAAGCAACTGAATGGTGTAGCTTGCAACAGTTTATTCAGCCCATTTGCCTCTTTTCTTCCACACAGATTGCTCTTTGTTGTTGTTTGCTTCACCTCCAGCTTTGTTCAAAAGCAGTGTGATTGTCTGTTGTGACATGATGTGGTTTTAAGGACACTTATTTCACCTAGGTCATCTTTTCTTGACAGAGTAGGAATTAATTCACAACATAAAACATTCAGCAGTTCCCAAATCCAAGCCCCTTACTAGTTTAATAAATGTGAATCAGGTGGCAGTCAATGCTAATAGCTTTCATTGGAGACCACAGGACAAATTTTATTTCTTAGCATCATTCCCAGTATCACATCTTACTTGATCTCCTTCCTATTTTACTGCATCTAGGGTTTTTAAAACATATGTTAGTTGTCCATTTTAGAACCAATTCCTTAATATTAAAATAGAAAGCAAGTTTTAGTGCTGGAAAAGTCTATTTTTGCTTATTGGGAAGAGACGTTCATGGAACACCTTTTATAGGGCAGGGATAAAAGGTGCAGATGATCTTATACTATTTGGCTCTTACTGTAATTCCAGCTATATCTTATATAAAGAAACATGTTTAGGCCATTGAGTTCTGCGTGTATTTTCCCCCAACATTTTATTATGAATTTTTTTAAGCATACAGAAAAGATGAAAGAATTTTACATCAAACATCCAAATATCTACCATCTATAGTCTACCATTGACATTTTACTTTATCACATCTTGTTTTATCACACGTCTGTCCTTCCAATGGTATCTTATTTTTTTTATGTATTTCAAAGTAGGCTTATAAATGTATTTTCATTTGTTTAAGACACTCATATAGAAGCACGTAAAGTAGCAAAAAGAGAAACAAACCCACAAAAATGTTTGCCTTCTGTCAGAATTGAATGGCTCAAGAATATAATGCTCCAGATGCTGATGTTGGGTGCTTTTCTTTCTTCCCCTTTTAGCTCATCCATAAAATGCTCTGGGCAACACTTGCTAGCCAGGCAAACTCCCAGAGTTTCCTGGGGTGCTCACGACTGTTAAATCACACCGGTTGTTTGTGTGTTTATGGCAAATGCTTCCTATGGCCATTCTGAAATATCTGCCCCTCTCTGCTCTGATGCGAGTTGCTGAGAGCCAGATTTGTCAGTGAGCCCCTTCACTTCTTGCATGAATATCCCTCCAATCTGTTTAAGGTGACCAAAAGGTTTACAGCCTACTGATAATTATGCCTCTGGTAAATACAAAACAAAACAAAACAAACTTTCAGAAAATTTGGTAAATTTCTTAAGTTTAAAGTTTAACCTTGACTTTTCCTAAGAGATTTTACAATGATTGTTTAATAAAATTAAGAACAGTTTTAAGTATTATAGGTTCCTTTTTATTAGTATATTATCAAAGACCCAACCTTGTAAAGCCTTAGTTTGAATCACATGAACCACAAGTTCAGCACTTGTCTGTTAATTTACAATCCACATGCCTTACCCAACACATGTACAGTAATTGTTTGGCCCTAAGGATGTATTTTAAGGATTTTGAAGGATATATATTTTATGAAGCAATTAGAAAAACCTACAGTATTTTCAGAGGAATAAAGCTGAATTATAACAAAGTTTGCATGACATTCACAGATGCTTAATAAAAGCACATTCACTAGTTGCTTTCTTGTCTTGCAGGGTGATTTCAGTTTATGTTCACTCTTTGTATAAATAACCAGACTGGTCATCCTCTTTTTTATTAATTAAAATTGGTTTTTCAGAAGAATGTCAAAACTTTACCCTATCCAGTTAAGGAGAATTAATGGAGAATTTAGCATGTTCAACTAATAAATACAGATGTTGCAAATATTGAATACCAATATTTTATTCATGATCAAAGCAATACTAGTGGTAACAAGTCTATTTGAATTTTCAAAATAAATTTATTTTTTCATAGAGGAGACTTTTTTCTCAACCCTTTGGTTGAATGTTTTTATGATTTTATTATTTCTTATTATTTTGGTTGAGTCTTTATATAGTGTGACTTGCCTTCAGTAGAATTCATAATAGTACTTCCTAAAAGGTAATTTTAATAAGTTTTGTTATCCAAGAAGTAAAATCTGTGCTCACAAATGATGAGCTACAGGAAGCAACAGAGAATAATTTATCAAATAAGCAACCATTAAAAAATGAAGGTGTTTATTTCTTTTAAAATTCTGGACATTCTTATTTTAATCCCATCTATTGGATAGCATTCATTGAAGTTGGCCACCAAATTGTACTATTTGGTAAAGCACTAGAGAAAGAGAAGACTTTGGAAAATCTAAGTCACAAGAAAATTAATTATCTCCATAACAGTACACCATAACCCCATTCAGAACATTCTGGTTTGAAAGCAAAGTTCAGAGAAACAATTACATTCTGTTTCTCTGGAAACCAAAGCAGACAAATCAAGTATTTTGGTTGGATTACATGGAAATCAGCAACTCAGACATGCATCAGATGATTCTGATTTGTTCCTTTGATATATATCAGATTTTCACATGAAGGGCAGACCCAGAAGTAAATTTTATCTGAATTCTGATAAATTGTGTTTATAAGCCTATGTATGAGATGATCACCAACGAAAGGCTTTCGCCAGAACATGGGCAGTCTTACAGCTTTTTCAGACTCGAACAAGAAGACAAGAAGCAAAAAGGTTTATAATTAGTTGATAAACCAACCTATAAGGAATATGCTATATTATTTATGTAGATAGTATTTATAGATATATATGTAGATAATATTTTTAATTTATACATATATAATATATGTAGATAATTTTAATTTATATATATAAATTAATAATTGATCTTTCTGCAAATTCTTGACTTTTTAAAGATGTTGGTGGAATATTTTGATCAATATTCTGTTAAATAACTGTGGCCTGATTTATTTTTGTGATTATAAACCATTTATAGTAACTAAGTCTTCATGCCTTTCCTCCCCCTACTCCATTAAAAAATAGAAAAGAATGAAGAAGAAGAGCAAGAAGCAAAAATGGAACTTAAACGCAGACTCAGCAGAAAGGTGATGAAACTGTGACTGTTAGTGAGCCTGTGTGCTTTCAGATAGACTTCATTTTTTAACTGCGAATCAGCTCTCAACATGTAAATCTTATTTAGGAATAATTATTCCTATTAGTCTACTAAGTAATCATAGACATTAAAATCAGTGTAATGCATATAGTATGAACTATATTTATATTTATAATTGCATAATGTGCTAATTTTGAAAAGTTAAAGTTTTAAGTTGCATTTACTAATTATAAAACTAATATTTAATCTGTGTGAAAAATCTTTTAAATGCAAAAAGGAGCAAAAAAAAATCATACAAACATCTTCTATTCAGAGATAACCATTATTCAATGTATAGTTTTAAAAAAATGTTCACACCTGCCATGCAGTCTTGGAAATATTAGATAAATGTTAACACTGAAAATTTGCCATTATTCCATATCTGAGCTGGGCAAGTAATTTAATAAGTGAACTTGATCATCCAGCCTGATTGAATTGTTTGATCCAGCCTCACACAGTTGTTTCCAGCCATTCATGAGAATATAAATCTGATACCAGAACCATTACTTTTTTCTGTAAGTGTTAAAATAACAGTAGTCTTTGGGAAAATTAAACACTGTCAGAGTTTGTATTTCATTATTAATCCTTGCTCAGTATTCTCCAGATAAACCTTTCACAGCTGGATGGGGCAGGATGAGTAAAATATGACATCTGCAGTGATAGGTGTGACCTGACCCACATATATCTGGGCTGGTTGGGGAGTCCACAGCAAAACCATTCAAAGGCAGGTAGAAGAGTTTTGCTTTTGGTTTTTAGGGAAAAAGATCCTTAATTCATCTCTTTTTTTCTTGAAGACCCCAAATGTCAAATAATAATCAAGCTGAAAAAGATTCTATAAGCAGTTTCTAGAGATGGCTCTTCTACCATTCTGTAGCTGTTGCCAGTCCCTCATTGTTCCAGGCTCATCCCTGCCGTACATATGGTCTTTTCTCAGTTTAGTTGGGCCCTTCCAGGAGGCAACAGAGCCTGCTCTTACCTCTGTGCCCACTTGCCTCTACCATACAGAGCTCCCTGCTTGTAGGTACGGGACACCCATAGCACTAATAGCTACCCCATCACTGGCATAGTCCTGAAGGGCAAGACTGGATTGAAGAATTTCTAACTTGTGTGGCCACTGGTCACATGCCTTTTGGGTGGTCCCTAAAGGCAAGGGTTTCTGCACCTCCTTAACCCCATCTGCTCTGAAGAGGCATTAAGAAGCTAGCAATATAGACTGGACAGCAAGTGTCCTTTGCCCATTCCTTACCAGGGCTTTATGAAGATAGAAGGAGCTGCAGTTACCATATCCTGCTCAAGTGGGCTCAAGGTGTAGACCCCAGCCTTCTAAGAATCCTCGAATGCCTTGAATGTTAGAACATTGACTTAGTTCAGCTTTTGGTTTTACCCAAGAGGAAATGAAGTCCAGGAAAGGGGATATTTTTGACCACAAAAACATCAATTTTTTTGTATTAGTGCTTAATTTTTCTAAGAATTAAGCCTTTGCAAATAAGGAACACCTCTAAAGAGGACCACTTAGACAATGGATAGTCTGGCTATGTACAGAGTCCATATATACAGAGAAAAGATACTGAAAATGGACCCTATGGGTAAAGGCCTGGGTCTACCTGTCTGACAATACTATGATACCTCCCAACTGAGGAAGGCCACAGAAACACGAACCTCAGTAGCAGAAAGTAGATGTTGCCTGTCAACCAGGGACCAGGCTTCTTAGTCTCTTAGAACCATTTCTGGCTTGTTCTTCAGCTTGAGAAAGGACCAAGAGAGGAAAGCAAATACACACAGGGCTGGACAGATTTAATATAGCTATAAACTTAAATTTGGCAGACTATAGGAAGAATCCCAAGTTATTAGAAGTGTCTTAAAGGCTGCAGCTGATTTTAAGCAGCTACGGCCCTACTGAAGTGCATCCTCCTCATTCCTTCACATCAGCTTTTCTGGCCAAGGGTTAGTGTTGAATCTGGGCCTGGTTCCTTAGCCTCTCAGAGAAGACTGCCATAGACACATCCTGCCCTGAACCATTTCTGTGTCATAATTTTGTGCATTTCTGAACATCCAGGTTTAATATGATAGGAACATAGATTTTCATTGTCATTTCTAAAAGTTAGAAGGCTTTTGTAAAGAGATTCAATCCCTAAGCCAGCCATCCTATATCCGGACTATTGTGTCTCTGTTGAGTCATGTAACTTGTGTCAGGAATGACAGGGACCTTTATCACAATGCCAGGCAGGTTGGGGAAAATAGCATAATGCAGGGATTTGCCAATGACTGTGACCTATCTAACAATGATGATTTTTATAGCCTCAAAATTAGGGCACACTGCTTTCTAGTTCTCATTAGAAATTCCCAAGATGCTGCCACTGCCTTTTCTTTTTTTTTGTGGGCATCTGAAAGTGACCTTATTTAACCATAACTTTGAAGTTCTCTATAGAAAACTTGGCACCATGAAGCTGTAAATGGTTTACTGAACTTGTCCTTTTCTCTTCCTGCAGCTCAGCCTGAGACCTACAGTGGCAGAGCTACAAGCTCGAAGGATCCTGCGGTTTAACGAGTATGTAGAAGTCACCGATTCTCCCGACTATGATCGCCGGGCCGACAAGCCCTGGGCCAGGTTAACACCTGCTGACAAGGCAAGAACCCCAATGGCTTGAGTCCTGATTTTATATGTGATTTTATTGCTTCTCTAAAAACTCCAGTGTCCACTTACCACCCCCACCCCCACCAACTCAGTCATGCTAGGAGGCTAGATAATCCAAATATCCCAATAATTTTCTGCCTTTATTTAAGCCACTTAAGTGATATACTTAGTAATATCAATGTAGTTCTTTCAAGTTAGTCTCAGAAAAAAAGTAGTTCTTAGTTACCATAAAATCTGTCTGCATTCAAAGCTGGATGGAGAAGGGGGATTCCCACAACCATGAGTTATCCTCACTATCAGAGAATATAACTTATACAAGTTATCATGTTAAAGGGACATATTAACAGTGAAAAAGGTACTGATCTGTATACGGCCATACTTTTCTATAAATGGCCGAAGAGTAAATATTTCAGGCTTTGTGGATCATATAGTCTTTGTTGCAATGGTTCAGCCCTGTTATGACAGTACAAAAGCAACCATAGACAGTATGTAAGTGAATGGTTGTTTATGTGTTTCAATAAACAGAGGATGGGCCAGATTTGGCCTGCAGGCCATTGTTTACCAATCCCTAATCTATATTATGTCTCACGGTTCAGAAAAACTGAACTACATAGAGGGTTCCATCACAGAGAAGGACTATTTAATGAGTACTGTGGTTCCAAAGCCAAAGAATTTTGCCAGCTACTTGTTTTTAAATTCTTAATTTTGGTATTTCCCTAATATCCTAAATAATATTTGCTAGTTTTTGTCTCTAAACAAAATTGTTTATTGAATAAACTCATGCCATACTCAGTCTTAATGCTAGAACTAGGTATTTAATTACACTCTGTGTTGATGCTTTTTAATAGCAGGTTTCATTTGGTAAAGCAGCTGCTATGCATCAAGCACATACAAATTCAGAAATGATTAGCGCATTAGAAGAAATGAAAACCAGGAAGGAGTAAGATCACAAAGGAAGAATGTTCAGAATGAGAGTAGAAGGAAGGAGGCTTGAAGCAGCACCTGGGGACCCAACATTTACGAAGAGGCAGCAGCAGAACACAGAAGAAACGTCTGCAGGAAGCTACAGCCTAGGTGGGGAGCGTCAGGTCAGAAGTGGTGAGAGGGGCACTTAGGGGAAGAAGCCTGACTGATGGAGACAATGAGAATAAAACACACCCTCAGGAGTCTTGGCTGTGAAGGAGAAGATACACGATGGGGTAGTTTTTTGTGGGGTGAGGACTGTGGAGGCTGCAAGCTTGAGTGAGTAGATTTGGAAAGTAAGAGTCTCATAGGAGTGGTGATTTTTTAGTATGTGAATCTTATATGCCATGAAAAAGAAACCAAAAGAAAAGGAAAGGTTGGCTAGGAGAAAAAGTCAGTAACTGGTAGATTGGACATAATCAATGGGGCCACAGGTCAGTGCTCATGTAGAAAAGGCGAGGAGACCCTTGAGGGTGGGATGGGGGACACAGGCTGAGGATTGCACCCTAAATGAAGAGGCTTCCCCAATGCAGGTGAAATCACTCAGACTGAGGGACCCCAGGGGAGGATGAGGAAGACTGTAATACTCAAGTCCTGTGTTAAGCTCACTGCCAATCACTGCCATGTTTCCTGAGGGAAATGTCATGTATGGGTTACCAAGAATTGCCTATGAACTGCTTGATGTGGTTTCTTGCCCTCACGCCTGCAGCTCTATTTGTAAAGCCACTCGCCGCCCACTCCCTGTGGCACTTCCTAGGTTGTCAGAGGAGGAGTGCCTGGCCTTGCTTTGCTTTGTGGCCTGGTCAGAGGGGACAGTCACATACACAACTGCACTGAGTGACAAAGTGTATGGAGGCCTGTTGCGGAGAGGGCGAGTGGAGGTGGGGGGACCTGGGGGCAAGGCCTCCATCTCATTAAGCATGGTGCGGACTACAGGAGCCTCCTTTCAGCCTGCCATTTGTCTGCTGCCTACCCCTTGGATCCAGGTCTCCTGCAAGAAGTCATGGACTATGAAAAACTCGTCTCCCCAGATCTGGGAGCCCTCTCTCAGGGCTGGTGTGAAACAGCAGAGACTGTTGTGTGTTTTCCCCTAATCACAACCCTCAATCAGCAGCCCTCTACTCTCCCCTTTTCTACTTCACACTTAATTTTGAGTGGTTTCTACCACTATCTGTATTCTTTCTGCACTTTCTCTGGTATTCCACAAGGAAAACTGAGGCTTTAGGTCAGATGCAGTCTGTATGGTGAGTACTAACAATAGACAACATCTCTTTCTCCACCCTAACCCTAAATCGGGTCTTGTCTTACACAGTCTTTGGGCATTTTTTTCACATATGGCAAAGGACATATGAAATTTAAATAATAAAAAGAAGGCACATATTTTATTGATTCCTACCTCCCAGGTTAGGAACTTCCCTAGAGTAATTCGAATACCTGGACAGGCCCCCGTGTGCGCCTCCTCACCTGCATTCCCCTCTCCCGTAAGAAGTAACCACCATTCTCTTTTTTCTTTCCATTCTCTTTTTGGGTGTGTGTTAGTCACTCTCTCTTTTTTTTTCTAAGTAGTTTAACTGCCTTCATATATATCCCTGAATAATACATATGTATTTCTTAGTTTTGCTGGTTTTGGAGTCTACGTGATTGGAATCATACAACGTTCTTCTGGGTATTACATCACTCAAACAATTGGGCAAATTCCGTCTGTGGTTAATGTATTAGGTGATAGTTCATTTTTTTCCATAGAAACATAATATTTTGTTGTATGTATAAGTCACAGAGTAATTATTCATTCAATTGTTGATTACTTAGTTTCCAAATTTTAGGTTTTTAGGTTTACGAAGTGTATTCTGTGAAGATTCCTATCCTGTCTTCAGGTTCACCCATCTAAGACTTTTCTAGCTTGTATGCCATGTGATGGAATTGCTGGATCCTAGAATGTGTGAATGTTGAACTGTACTAAGCAATAGCAACAGCTTTCCAAAATGATTGGCTCAGTTTTTACCTCCCAGCAACAGAAGGTAACCCTTCCCATAGTCACATATGCTTGCCAACATTTGATGGTCAGGCTTTTTTTTGTTTTTATTTCTGTTACTTGACAACCTAGTGGTTATGACATAACATCTCATTCTTCTTTTACTTTGCTTCTCAGCAATTATTAATGAGGCCACTTCTGGACAGTACCTGTCTTTTGCCTATTTTCTTCTGGGTTGTCAATTTCTTGTTGATTCATAGGAGCTCTTCACTATTCCAGTTATATATTTTGCAACTACATACATATATTCTCCCAATTTATGATGTTTCGTGCTCCTGTAGCATCTTTTGGCTTATAATACAGTGAATTTATTAATCTTTGTATGGTTTGTGACTTTGTTCTTTGAAAAAAATTTTTCTCATACCAAAATCATTAATGTATTCTCCTATATTGTTTTCTAAAACATTATAGTTGTTTTTCACATTTAAGTTCTTAATTAACCTAGAACTAATATTTTAAGAATTTAGCCTTTAGCTTTGTTGATCATCTCTAGTCTGTGTTTGTTTTCTATGTTGTTATTTGCTTTACCTTCTTGCTCCCAATTTTCTTGGCTTTATTTGGCTGTTCTTTTCTAACTTAAGGTGGACTCTCTCAATCATTCATTTTCATCCTTTTTGATTTTCTAATATAAGCATTGAAGGCCACACATGACCCTATATGTCAGCAGTTCTCAACCTTGACTATACATTGCAGTCACTTGGGAAGCTTTAAGGATGCTGATGCCTGGATCTCATCTCCAAAGGTCCTGATTTAATTTGACTGGAGTGTGACCTTAAGTATTGGGATTTTAAAAATATATGGTCTGTAATTTTAAGTGTCCTTGAAAATATGTGCTTGAAAACAATGGGTGTTCTACCATTTGGGGGTATGGTTTTCCACATATGTCTAAAAGTTCAAGCTTGTTAGTCTCAAATTTCTGTATCCTCATTTTTTTTGTCTGTTTGATCTGTCTCATACCAAGAGAGGGATATGTTCAATTTCCCACTATGTTTATGGATTTTTTCCTTCCTTCTCTTTATAATTCTGTCAATTTTGTTTCATATATTCTGAGGCAGGGCCAATAGATTGTGTGTGTGTGTGTGTGTGTGTGTGTGTGTATAAAACGTTGGAATATTTACATTTTCCTGAGGAACCCTTTATCATGAGCTAACTCAAGAAGCTTTTTGTCATAAAGCCTATTTTATCTTTTATTATTTTGAAGGCAGATTATCAAGGTGAGTTAATTTAGGCTGCCTTAGCACTATGAATTCAGGCTGTAAGCCCATGTGAGAGCTGCCTTATCAGTTCAGATTCCCAGCATGGTTTTCATCCTCCATCCCTTACCCACTAAGCTCACTAAGCTGTCCCTGTGGAGGTCAGAAATGCTAGTTCACTCTTACAGTGAGGGTACACTAGATGGGCCCCACTTCCTGGCAGGAGGGTCATTTATCAGACTTTCTACCTTGGGCAAATTCCGTCTGTGGTCCTCAATAGCTCACCAGGCTATGAAAATGACCCCTGCATGTCACCAGGTTCAACATAGCAAATGCCTCAAGGTCAAAGCCAATTGCAGTACTCTGCTTATGACCTTATTTCCTCAGCATCATATTCATTTGTTCTTTTCTGTCAGAGTATTTTTTACCCTCTTACCATCTTATTTAAGATAATTTTTAAGTGTTATGTTCAGCATTTTAGTTGTTTTTCAATAGGAGAGCTGGTGTGTCATTTGGCAAAAAAACTATACACCTTTGTACAAGTTATCTTCCATTCTCCTTTCCTTTTAGTTGTGGGCTTTTGGTTATACACCTGTCATTTAGTGTCTCCTAGATAGCCCAGTTCCAGTCACTATTTCTGTACAGTGCACTATCCCAAAATGTAGTGACTGAAAATAACAACAATTGTATTATGTCTTACAGATTTTGTGGGTTAGGGATTTAGTCAGGGGTTGGCTGGGCAATTCTTCTGCCCTTCCTAAGGTTGACTCAGGCCACTCAGTGCTACTCAACTAACAAATGGAC